GGGGGGGGGGGGGGGGGGGGGGGGGGGGGAGGGGGAGAGGGAAGAAAGAGGGAAAAGGATTTAGGGATACACCTTACAGCTTTCATGAACGTAATATTTCTCGTATATTTTTAAGATATTCAAAAACTTGAAAGTTGCGATAATATCACTCTACGATACACATCTTTCATCAGATTTTGGTTACGGTTGGATGTAAATGCTATTGTGTGGGGTTTAGAGCCTAACTTGTTGGTACTGACTGCTATATCTCTTTTTGTAGTCGTTCGTAAATCTGATTTCTCAAATCGTAAAATTGAGTTTTCCGATCTCCCCAATAAATTCCCGTAGAAGATGATTGCCAGTCGCGTTTGGTTCTGTAGTTGAATCAATCTTTCAGTGCAAATTACTAATTTTGCAGCTTATAGATTTACAATTTACAAGCAGAACTTTGCAAAAAAAAAATTGCAAATTTTCAAATTAAAAATTCGAAAATGCTTTTTCGAATACAGCAATTTTTTGATTTTTTCGATTTGGCGAATTTAATTTTTTTAGATTTAGCGAATTTCGGCTTTAGTTTTTTAGATTTAGCGAATTTGTGTATATTTTTGCTGTGTTCCCTAATTTTTATTCTGTCATTGAAAGTTGTTTTCAGAGGCCGCGAGAAACTTATGGCTTATTTTGGTGCAATCAGTGTTATTTGTCAGTTCTGCTATCCACACGTCGAAATGGAGGCTAGTCTTTTGAAGCACTGTCTATGGCTTATTTGTCTTGTTGCTTCGAGTAATTCTTTTAGAGGGAGATTTTGATGATTTGCAGGTGCTGAGTATATTACCAGTTTCGGAAGATGGAACAGTGCGATTGAGGTGGCGAGTGAAATATGTTTCACTGATACGAGCAATCTTAGATCCAAAACTTTTCAAATATGACAATCGTATAAAAAAGGTTTTCCTTTTTTTTTTGTTAAAAAACCTGAATATAGTGGTACCATGGGTCAGATTAGCCTCCATTATAGCACATCTTGACTGGTAGTGTAAAACTGACCTTTTTTCACCATCGCAATACTAGTATGTACACAGAGCCTTACCGCTCTGTATAAGTCCTTATGTATATAAAGTAATCATTTTTTTTCTCCTTTCCTTTTCTTCGGTTTGCTTTTTGACTGTTTCGTCTCAAGCCGTCTAGGACCTGGATTTTCGCAGAAACTTTATTGTAGTATATATAAATTAGAGATATTAAAAAACAATAGAGTTTGGCACAATTATATCCCTCTTTTTTCTCACACCCCAGCGCCACAAGAATTGAGTGCAGGTAACGGGAAAAACAGAAAGATAGCTGATTATGAAAAATGAAAGAAACACAGCAGGTTGGTTGCTTGGGAAGGTTGTATGAACAAGTGCAAGATAATACTACTTCTGTACGGCCTGTTTTCAATGTTATACTGACAATGAAAGATTATTGATTTCCATAAATAACCAACAATTTTGGGGATGTAATTTTTTGCAAAATTTCAGCTAGATTGGTTCGATGGCTATTCAATTTTTCACGTCGGCTCGGATGGACTCGTCTTTCGAGTAATTACACGAAGAGTAAGTTTTGCTTTAAGACCAAACGACGTACTGTTTGTTGGTTTAGTTGTTGCACCCAGCATTTTACCGCATTTTAGTGAAAAAAAATAGAAAGTTATAACGGAAAAAATAGAAAAAAGGGGAAGCACACCGATAGTTCGAGCTTTTTTTGTAACTTCGGTTACACTAAATAGTTGCAGTGCTACTGTGCCATTTAACTTAGGATTAGCTACTCTTTTTTCATCGTAGGCACCCCTACACCGCCATTGGTCTCGGGAACTTTCTCTGTGTTCGTTTTCTAGCTATCTTTTAGGTTTCCTGGAGAGAAGTGCTACAGATGTTGCTCTCTCTCCCTCTGTCCGCAGTTTGCGCGATCGTAAAAACTAGAAAATTTGACGTGGCGACTTTTCTGGTGCAGGGCCTTTTTGTTGGTTTTTGGTTTCTTTTTTTTTTCTGGGTTTTTTTTCGATGCGAGCATTTTTGGTTGGGTTATGGGTGGAGGGGGCAGAAATTGAGCCCTTACATAGTCCGACCAGAAATGCTAGGCTTTGGGTAATTACAGTTTTTGAAGAAAACAGTGTTTCTTCTTGCACATTTTCGAGGAAAACAGTGTTTCTTCCTTTCGTTTATCTCTTTGCATGTTTTTTTTTTTTTCAGACCATGGAAGATGAAGATCGACAAGCTGCGCCGAACAATCGGCTAGCGAACTTAGCCGAGAAGGTCGGAGTGCTCCCAAAAGGTGCCACTGTGATGTTTGATTGGCCGACATCACGAATTGTATAAAGAGTGTAGGAAACTATTGAATGTTTTAAAATTTTTTCAATGGATGCTTTTGTGAAACACCGAAACTTCACGTCACTGGCCGTCCAAATCATGTTGGCATTGCTTGAGACAGCAATTGTCTCTTTGAAATTGTTACTTTTTATTTATCAAAGATGCACACGTTAAAAGTGTGAAAAACACTGAACAAACAAAGGCCAGCGAATAGAAAAACCGGAACGAAAAGCGTTTTTTTCCCAAAATTTTAAAAAAATTTATGGGTCAGATGGAATTATTCCTTTTACACATCTTGTACTTCATTTGACATGTGATGATTTGCTTGTCAGTATCCGGCTTCTTTCATTACTTTTATATGAATATTCTTGTCTCTGTGTGATTCTCGAATTTTTTTTTCTCGATTTCATTGTGTTACATTAAAACGTGTATTTGTGTAATGTGTTTTTGGCGTTGTTTGAAAGTGTGTTTTGCGATGTTGATTAGCTGATGAAGATTTCATTACTTTATTGCAAGAGAACAGTGCAGATTTGCAGAAATCCGCCGTCAAAAACTAACTCGCCCTCGTGGAACAACTCTCGGAAGACGCAAAGGTCAGAAGTTCCCTGGGTGATCTTTATGCTCAGAACTAACTGTAACGAGGAGGAGGACGTTTGCAGGATGGCTCTCGCCCCGATCAGCAAATAAAACTTTATTAGTACAAGCACAAAACAAAACACACAAAAGCCAAGTTGCCGCCGTACAATACAGAGGGGGCGAAGATGAAAAAGCGGCAGCAACTCTAATCTGCCGCCGCACAATAACTATCGCACAAAAACAACCCGCATTTCATTCCTAATCACTACACTAAATATTACGGTGGGGGGAGAGAGGTCGAGCCAGGAGATGTGGTGAAAACATGAAGTTTCTTCTTCCCGACCTTGACTTTTCTGGAGTTCCCTACCGTTATTATGCTTAACCTCAATTGTTTTTATCAACTAGAGGTAACATAGGTATATTTATGCGATAGAAAAATAACAGTGAGAACAAAAAAAGGGTGGAAGATAGGTCTGATGTCGGCAGACGACGTGCCGATCTGGCAGACGGTGTCTGGTCAATGTGAGGATATTGTTGTTGGGCGGCGTGCTGGTGTTGGCACACGGCGTCCGGTCGGCGTCGATAAAATGTTAACAGTGAAAATTAGCAGAAAAAATCGGCTGCTGAACCCATCTGGAGCTTCGCCCCGT